CTCAAGTTCGAGTTCGACAGGCACATCCTGAATGACTCCCTCTCTGATGACTCTAAAGGCTGGTATAAAAGCTTTGAGGTTATGTTTAGAAAATGTAGGATTGTCTACTAACCTATTAGCGGCAGTAGCAGATTTCGCCTCTATAAGAATTTTACCTTTACCAATTTTTTTAATCTCCTGGATATCTGGGATACCTGAGTTAGCGATGATACTTGAGATGACAATCGGGTGTGTAACCTTTTCGCGATTTAGGTCGTAAACGTAGACCGCGTAGGGACCATTGTCCTGAGGGCGATATTTAGGTGCAGTTTTGAAGTTAGCTGCAGCGCTAGTAGAATCCTGAGAACGAGCACCAAGCGCGTCTTCCGCGTTTTTTGACCTTGGGGAGACTCGTGATTTCGAAGTGGAAGATGTCGAAACAGTAGATCGCTTTGGGGGAGAGGTCGAGGAACGACCCTGTGCTTCTATCTCCTCGGAAGAATGGCGCTTCCTAGTATTTGTAACTTCGTCCACTTCCATGCTAAGATCACTTGAGATCATTACCTGAGAGCCATCTGATGATGCTGGGGATGATGATGATGACGCAATTTCTTTATTGGAATTGCATGTTGTTACGTCAGATAAGCCTGCTTCGTCAAATAGCGATTTAAGCATCGAGCTAGAAAGGTCGCTGGAATCATTAGAGCTCATATTAATGGGTGAGGGATTTGTCTGTGTAGACGGATTAATCACCAATGTAGGAGGGTGAAGGGAGAAGGAAACACTGCGATTTGAGTTTTGGTCACTGCTTCCCCCCGAGTCCGAGGCCATGCCTCTGCGCGGGAAGCCGAAACGAGGTTAAGTAATAAATTTCCCGACGCTCTGTACGTATGATAGAACAGGGCTCGATCACTAAAGTACGAAACAAAGCAAATATATGCAAACTAGAGCCCTGATAAGGGCTGATTAACGTAAGACCGCGAAAAAGCACCGTGTTACGTAGACGACGAACTTCACGTCCGTCCCGCTCGAGTGGTCTCGCGAAACTTGTCTTCGATCCTCGACGATTCTTTTGAGGCCTTAGGCATTGTCCTTACCCTTAACAATTCTTCCCTATTTCTTATTGGTGCCTACAGACCGAATAGACCAGTCTCTCCTACTGTTATTTCTTCCATTACCTCTTTTCTAACTAATCATGACCACTCTATACTACTTGGTGATCTTAACGCATACCACCCGATGTGGGGTGGCTCGCGTACCAATCCAGCTGGGCGCGTGCTGGGTCGATGCATCGATGACTCTCATCTTGTGGTTCTTAACCCCCCTTCCTCTCCGACTTTTATCTCTTTTTCTCCCCCTCATTCTTCCACTCTGGATTTAGCTATTGCCTCTCCGCGTATCTCTCCTCTGTGCGACACCCTTTTTGCCAGATTTATTAGGCAGTGACCATTATCCGATCATGGTTCAGGTCAATTGTCTGGTGAGTACTTCTACTGTTTTTTCGTATAAAGTTAAACTCTCTAAAGCCCAGCGAGACGATATAGAACTCTATTTATTTAACAACGCAAACTCTATCTCTCAAGCTGTTAGAGACATTAACCCTGACGACCCCGTCTCTCAATACAATACTTTTATGAATCTAATCTCAGCTAGTTATGAACGTTTTTCCCCCTCTAAACCTCCTCCTACTAAAACCTCTCGTGCATCTTTTACTAAGAAGGGTCCCCCTCCCACACCTTGGTGGACACCGGATTGCACAGAGGCAGTAAGACGACGCAGCAATGCCCTCAAAACCTATAAGCAGTCTCCCACATGGGACAATTATGTCTTCTATCGGTCGGTTGTCTCACAAACCAATAAAATCCTCCGCAGGGCTAAGCGTGTTAGTTGGAGAAAGTTCTGCTGCTCTCTCGATTGTAAGACTCCTACCGTGGACATTTAGCGGATGCTTAAGCGTTTTCGCAATCGTCACCTTATTTCGGCCAACTCCTCTGCTATGAACAAGAATGCAGCTCTCCCGTTATTACAGATGCCATTAACCGACTCTTCTCCTTTCTGTCCTCCGTCTCCCCCCGTTCCCTCCTCACTATTCTCTGGTAACTTAGCCTGGCTCGACGCTCCTTTTACTCTTAACGAACTCCAATCTGCTCTACACTCGGTCAAACCCTCCTCCAGCCCTGGCCTCGATAGGATAGATTATCGTATTATAAAAGCGTTCCCTAAAGAGCTCCTATCCACTTCACTTTATATTTTTAACAATCTTTTCCGCTACTCTATTTTTCCTTCTCAATGGTCCCGTTCTTTAATCCACCTCATCCCTAAGCCTAATAACAAGGGTGTTCGTCCTATCTCTCTCACTTCTTGCCTTCTCAAGATTATAGAGAGGATGATTTTGGGCCGCCTATATTGCCTTATAGAATCCCCATAGTCTGAA